CTATTGGCTATTGCACTTTGCAATAGCCAATAGGAAACTAGGTATTGCACCCGCCCACTGCTGCTTTCAATCAGCAGAAGAGGACCTGATAGAAAAATTCAGGTCCCCCTCTGCTGATTGACAGCAGCAGTGGGCGGGTGCATTAGCTAGTTTGCTATTGGCTATTGCAAAGTGCAATAGCCAATAGGAATCTAGCTATGCAATCGTATGCCTTTTTTTTTCTTTTCTGACTGACGGTCGGGCCGCGGCTCCCGATGTCAGAAAAGAAAAAAAAAACGATCGCAGGGAAAGGTTTAATCTGCTTGATAGAGCAGATTAAACCTTTCCGGGAGAAAATGTTTCTCTCCCGGGCGGCCGGGAGCCGCTATCTAACAGCGGGAGACTCCCGGAGCTTCCGGGAGAGTTGAGATGTCTGCAAAAGGTAGCAGACTTTCATTTTACCACCCACTTTTCATCATGTCACTCCTACCCCCTCCTCTCTAACAATCTAATTTTTTGTAAATACCTTTTTTGGGGAACCCTCCACACACAACCTGGATTCTTAATTAGGCAAGAATGGTGTATTTATTGCCTCCAGGGAAGCCACAGCAAGCCGTACCAGGGGGCCTCTGGGTATTGTATGGTGCACCTTCAGGGAGCCAGTTGACACTTCCTGATTCTTGCAGCCAGCCTTGGATAACATAACATGTTATGGCACATGCACGATATCGGGGGGGGGTCTGCAAGAACCCAGAAGAGACAGCAGACCCCCTAATGATGTCAGAGAAGGAGATGGCGGCAAGGTACCAGGTGCAAAACGGCAGGTGCCAGCTGAACACCACTGGATCCCTGGCACATGACAATGTTTGTTGTGAATAACCCAGCAACAATAGGTAAGAGGAGAGGAAAAATGGGGGGGTATTTCTCTGTAAGCTTGGCGGTAAAATAATTTACCCGTTAATCCTGCTATTCATGAGGACTTCCTTCTTCCCAGTGACAACCATCTATGGGCTTATAGAGCCTCTGCAGCGTTGCCACCACAGTCACATGCTCCACATCTAGTGGGTAAGCTGTGTATTAATTACTAGACATGGTTTACTTTTTAGGTCATGTGACCATGTTTCTTCCCTATAGTTCAGCCATGATCGGCTTGGGGGCTAGTTTAGGCCGCATCCTGGTGACAACCCTTGACCCAGGTATTGCTGGACGCAGAGAAGAACCGCAATCACAAGACCCAAAAAGTGAATATTTAAAAATAGGTATCACTATTTTTATTTATGTGCAA